ATTTCTTTTTTGAGATGATGATATTTTCAGCACATATCCCACAATAATTTTTTTCTAAAGTATGGAAATCATGCCAAGAGTTAAAAACGGGGAAATTTTTGATGGGGTGCTTCATAAAATAGGACAATCATCTGATTCAAAGCTAAGCAAGAAGGCATGCACAGTAATATCACTCATAGAGAAATAAAATGAAAACTACAAGAAGAAACTGAGAAATGATAACTTTACAGGCCGAAATTTAAATCAAATTTTTCCAAGAACATAGACCCACTGAAACTTCACATATTGCTTAAATGAAGGAAAATAAAGCAATCATCTAGGAAAACATTAATAATGTCTATTAACACTAAGTATGTATGCTGATTCTGTTGACCAGAAATTTCAATATGACATATATGTGAGAGAAACTATTTCATAGGGTTATTGAATTCATTCATTATAGCTTTACTTTATCAGCCTAAAACTAGAAGCAACACAAATATCATGAAGAATATGATAGATAAGTCAGTTGTGTCACACTAAAGAATACAATGCGGTCTGAAATTTTACTTGTGTCTCATCTGCGTGAATCATGCTGACGTACCTCTCAAGCGACAGGAGCAAACACACAAGATTAGATGGTGTGTGAGTGTATTTACGTGATTCTGAAGAGCACAGAAAACTGCTTACAGTGGCAGCAGTCAGAGAAGCAAATGCTTCCGCAGTTGACCGGGCAAGGCCAAGGGAAGCTGGTAGAGTGGTTGTACACCTAGAGGGGGGCTTACACCGCTGCGCACACTTGAATTCAACTGCCTACAATTTGTTTACAGTTAAAAACTTGTGCACTTGACTCTGCGTTACACCTTAAAAAAATTTCTGGCATGGTGACCAAATAATAAACATGGCCACTTCTGTCATATTTTAACAAAACGATGTGTTGGATTGCCAATAGCAGACTTTCATGTCTAATATAAACTAACATTGTCAAAACAAGAGCAGATATAAGTTTTGTTTGTGTGTTATGCTGTTTTGCAACTGATAAAGGTTAATTGCAAAGTCATAGCATTACTAATAAGGATTAAAAAGAAACCCTTTTTACATGGGTGTGTATATGTGTGTGTGTGTAAAATTTTATAAGTCTGAATAACTATTCAGTTTGGTTGAACAGCAGGCCCCAGAAACATCTGACATGGAAGTCACATTATTCCAACTGTCGAATTCCTATTGTTTTGTTTCATGAAGGTCTATAGTGTTTCTAGCTCTTTTTCTTTTCTTACTATTTTGTCTTCTCTTCAGAAGATAATAAAAAAAGAAATTTCTGTCTCATGTAATCTGTAAGACATTTCTTTTATTTTCATGAGCAGAATATATTCATTGAGAGAAAGAAAGCTCCTGTCCAAGAGAGGGACAGGAGGGGGCCCAAGCGGGTCGTTCCCCCTGTAGGACATTTCAGCCTTGGGTGCAAACTTGGTAGCAAGCAGCATTGCTAACGTGGTGTCGCAGGGAGTGGTTTGCGTCATTTCCCACAGCAGCCGGACCTATTTGCATGGCTTCCCGTGGCTTGGCTCCCAGCGAGGAGTCTGAAAGCACAATTGGCAAACGCAGAGAGAGCTAATAGCCTGGAGGGGCCAGGGGCCAGGGCTCACTTCCTGTGTGGTTGCTGCTGTCTGCGCTTCTCCCTCAGGAAGGTTCAGAGCCCCAGGCCTCACGGGCTGCCTTATGCAGAGAATACTGCACAAGGCCCACGACTACCATTTACGTGGCCGACACATTGAATTTAACTGCTCTTATGTGGTTCATCACACGTCATCATGAACATCCGTAATTAACAATGAACTTGTCACTAGATTGTAAATCTCCAGTGTTGTGTTATGTGTGTGTAGATCAGAGCAAATATTAGGATGCAATTTTACAAATTAAAATTCTAGCAAAACATCAAACCGCTTCTCAAATTAATTTTCTGATATGAGTTGATTTTCAAAATTGTGTCATTATTTTGAACTGTAACATTTGAAGCACACCATTTAGCTAGTTGGCATATTAATACATATATTGAAACACAAACGAGATGTCATCTAAAACTAGTGAAAACTAACTTTCTAAAGATATTACAGGAGCAGGTACATTGCTCTCAATCCCCCCAGAAGACTACCCCTCTGGCCAAGCACACCTGCCCCACCATCCTCGCCGCTTCCTGCGGCAGCTCGGAAGTTCTCTTTCATGGATGCCTTGAGGTGCCCTGTTGTGGGCCCCTGAGTCCTGAATCAAGTCAAAATATTTGCCTTTCATTGTCATTTTTGACTTTGCACCAAAGTTTCCTATTACCGGAGGTTGTGGACAAGTGGACAGGGTGCAGGTGCGCGCCTCCACATGCCTGCTTTTCTGTCAGATGCCGCTTGGCAGCAGGGTTCCCGACTGTATTTCTCAGACCTTACAAAGAAACTGGCAAGATAGAATTCCATGGTGGCTTTGGAGAATGACAAGAACAGTGGAGTAAGTGTGGTAAAGCAAAGAGGAGGATTCTGAGGGGGTTAGTGATAGAGTACCTGTTGCTGTAATGTGTTTCTAAACTAAACATTTGCTGTGTGCTTGGATCACACCTTACACACTGATTCAGTAGGATCAATAAGTACGGCTGATGTAATAGATTCCATTGAGAGAAATTTCTTTTGGGGAAACGTTTTCTGTTTCTCCCTCATTTCTGGTCCCCTTAATGGATTTCAAACATCAAGGTAATTAAGGAGATTTTGCATTTGTAAATATAAGCTTGATAGAGCATGTCTGGAATTGAAAATTAAAAGGTGCATCTCCCTTTGCTGTCAGTATGGTGGCCCGCCCGAGCAACGGAAGCGGACGCCTGCGCGGCCTCACATCTACTATCATCACTCTACTTTATGATTTTATGATTTCTTTTGTTAATATCAGTGTATATTATCACCGTACATGCCCCACAGGTATTGCTGTAACAAATATTAATGCGTAATTACTTACTGAAGTCTGAACATTACTCAAATTTAGTTTTTAAATTTCAGCTTCCAACCCAGGACAAGACCCAAGATGCCGTTTGTCCTGAGCTGTCAGGTCCACCGCAGGCAGCAGGCCCTCGAGGGGGTGTGCTGACCCTGGGCATGGCTGAGGCATTGTCCACGTTGTGGGGACTGTTGCAGAAACGCAGCAGCCCTCTGGCCCTGTGCCTAGGAGGGGCACCCTGGCGAGAGTCCTCGTCACCTCAGGTGTTGACCCCGGCCGCTGGGCTTGAGGTCGCACCCGGTGGGATGGTCCTCCCCCTCCTCGCTGCACGCTGGGCTCTGAGGAAATCACGCTGTGTAGTTCACACTTAAGAGATGAGGAATTCTGCACTGTTCTTGAGGGGGAGAGTCCATATGAGTTGCTTGGAATTTGAGCAGACTTTTCTATTTTACCCGACTTTTAATTGATGCAGTTCCATTTATATCTGTACAGGCCCTCGATTATTTATTATTAGATTTCAGTGAAAAATCGTCAATCTCTGCAGATCTCTCCCTGTGCCCCGCTTTCCCTGGTCTCTGACAGCCACCTCCACAGGGCCGACCTCTTTAGATGCCACATACAAGCATGATTGCATAGTACGCAGTCTTCCTGTGCCTGGCATACACTACGCAGTGACCTCTGATTTCATGCACACTGTCAGAGGTGGCCGGGTGCCATGCTTCTGTGTGCTGGAGCAGTTATCTACTGTATATGTCTTTACCCATAAGCTAGAATTTTTTACCTACCCAGGATGGCATCAGATCATTCTGTGAAGCAAGAGCGTGGGCACTATGCTCGGTCTTCACATCAAGGAATTTGAAAAGTTTATCCTTATTAGTACCCACGTGCTGTGCGTAAGAGTGACGTCTGCGGTGCAGGAGGCACACGTGCGACGCGTCCTGTTCTCCCGCCTCGCTTCCCTGACGCTCTCCACGCTCCCTCCCGCCCCCAGACTCTGCCGACTTCATTTGGCTCCCTTCCAAGCTCTTAGCAGAAGCGAGCTCAGCTGCTGCACCTTTTAAGCTCGGGCAAAATTCACCTCAACGATGTTTTGCTGGGGTTCTTTGGAGAGAGAATGCTCAGAAATGACACTGTGGTACACTTGAGATGTTCATCGTCTATTCCACTCACACGCCTGATTTTCAAGATTAAAAACGTTTTACCCATACATTTATTTCAGTCCAGGGGGACAACAATATGTGTAGTCCAGTCCATAATCTACAGAGTGCAATAAAGTGACAACTGGCCTGACCCAGGCCCTCCAGCCTGAGACTCCCCTGGGAAACCAGGGGGCAGGGCTCCCTGTGCAGTTCCCACTGCTCTTTGCATGAGGGATTTTCCAATCTGTCTGTGGAGCGGCTTGAATTTATACTTCTAGTTAGTTTCTTTGGAGTAACCTTTTCAGTGTCTGTTGCGTGTTCCCTCACATTCTGATGTGAGTGGGCTTAACAAGACTGTGCCCGTGTCCTAGACCTTCATCCCAGCTTCCTGCTGGGCTGCTCCGCACAGCACTGCCCTGTCGCTGTCCTCTGACAGCTGCCTGGAGCTGCTGTGTCTTCCTTCTTCATAGGTAAAAGAGCAAAAGAAGACCAATAGTTCCTATTTGGGAAGATCCAATTTCATATAAAGAAGAAAGAAAGGGAAAATTAAAAAAATTGAAACTATATAGTTAATTTTTTTTTAATATTTAGGTGTTTTTTTTTTTTTTTCTTTTTTTGTACCAGGGATCAAACTCAAGACCTTGTGCTTATCAGGCAGGCACTTGTACTGCTGAGCTATCTCGCTGGCCGTCACAGAACATTTAATGCAGATCTCTACTACACTAGGTGCTGGGAACAGCCTTCCTGCACAAACACACAGCACGGCCCTTGACCTCAAGGACGGACGAGAATTGTTAATTTGTGTGCTCTAAAATTTCAGTGCTATGCTGTATATTTTTTAAGTCTCAGTAATTAATTTACCTCTAGATAAGATGAAGGTCTCTCTTAATACTTGTTCATTGTCGTCCTTAGGAGATAGTCAACTTCAACTGCCGAAAGTTGGTGGCCACAATGCCCCTTTTCGCCAACGCAGACCCTAATTTTGTGACGGCCATGCTGAGCAAGCTGAGATTTGAGGTGTTTCAGCCTGGAGACTACATCATCCGCGAGGGGGCCGTAGGGAAGAAGATGTACTTCATCCAGCACGGCGTGGCCGGCGTCATCACCAAGTCCAGCAAGGAGATGAAGCTCACCGACGGCTCCTACTTTGGAGGTTAGTGAGATCCAGATCGCCTGCTCCCTGTGTCTTCTTCGCAGCTTTGCAGGTACCATAGCATTGGTTTGGTCCCTTTGGATGTGAGCTGCTGTCTGAATTGCAGGGTAAATGTCTGTAATGTTTTCATATTAAGTGACCCCAAGTCCCGGGCCTGTGTACTCACTGAATGTTGGTTATGGTATTGTTTCTACTGCTTTGACTAGAACCGGAGGATCATGGCTTAAACTAAGGAACGGTCTATTTTAGACAAAATCCCCAGAGGTTGGGATGGCTGTCTCCACAATAGCTTTAAGAGATCCAGTCCATGTATTTATTAAGTGACATCCAGTAGAATTGTATTTCTTTTTATTTCTTTTTCTCATCTACATGAGAGAAAATGATGCATTCTACCATCTTTTGGTACCGAAATTCTTTCTACCATATATTGCTTGCAGAATGCAGGGAAATAGCAGCAGAGGAGCCATCTTACTGCTGATCAATCATTTTCATAGATTCAGATATTACTTCTGATGTTTGTTTATGTCTTTGGCATATTTTATAACACTGACTTTAAAACCAGAGTACACACAAATACTTCCAATATAATTTTACATGCTCTATAGCTATCTTCTCACAAACTGCTGTTTATTTCTTAATTTTGTTTATACTTTTTTTTATCATTCTTGCCCTCTTTGCTATTAATTTTAATCTTCCTACCCTTTCCTTAAGTCATTAGAATTTTTTTCCCCTTGGGTGAGTTTTGCATAGTATACCATGACAATATTGTTTTCCATATTTTCTTTTATCTAACTTTATAACATAAATGTGCTTACTGCATTGTTATTATAATTTGCTATATTTCATTATTATAGCACATCTTCCATTATATTTTTATTTTAGTGTTAGCTTATCCAAATTTCATTCTTAAATATCATGTCAGGCAGAATTCTATAGGGACTTCTCCAAAGAGTTGGTTTTCTATAACCATCAATAGAGGATTTGGGGATTTTTATCTAAGGTTCTTAATATTTTTTTCAATGAAATATAAAATTGAAGAAAATTTTCCTATGTAACTGTAATGTTCAGAGTTTGAATTTTATTACTTGTTTTAGAACTCATCAAAGTAACCATATAGTTATTCACCATTGATCTATTGTGCTTCAGGAAAGCACATTAAAACTAATGAACTTCTTGGACTTTCTGTTCACCCGTTAAAGACAACTTTGAAACGCTGAGCTTTCTTTTACTTCCTGCTGTCCTTCTTACCAGAATGATTTCTTGCCTCAAGAGTTGTTTTGTTAAGATTTTGCTAAGAAAAAACTAGGAAAATCTAAGAATCTAACAGGTCTACTTTAGAGAGAACACAGAACTTGCTAGAGTGAAGAAAAACTGGAAAGGAAGTAGTTAAAATCGGATGAGGTAAGACACCAAAGCACACACATGCGGAACAGCCTCGGGAGGAAGCTGGCTAACCTCTCTGAGGCAATATGGGGCTACTTGGTGCGCATGCTGAAGAAACCTTCAGGAGAGACTTTTTAACGAGTTATTATGCATTAAGAATGGATTTATGAGGGCGCATATGCTTCATGAATCCAAAGGCACCCGTAATGACTTTCCAGTTAGACTTGGCAGCATGAGTAACATTTCGTGCGAAGACTGGAGTGTGTGCTTCTCTGGATGTGTGTTTGCTGCACTCTGAGTGAAGCTAACAGATCAGTAAGTGACAGGGGAAGCTGTAGAGCACTTCCCAGAGGACACCATTCTTCCTGTTGTATTATTTCTTCAACACAGTTTTACATATCTGTCTATACATTAAAATTGTGCGTAATTTTGTTGTTAATGTAGCTATTTTTGTTATCCACAGGGTCATTTTGGGTACTAGATTTTCTATCCTCCTAAAGAAATAACACTGTAAAACAAAGAGTGTCATAGAAATTTACACAATGGAGATATTGCCAATTATTTGAGGCCTGACTAGAATCACTTGTGTCTCATTCCTTGTTCTCTTTGATTATTAAACTACTTGGGATTTCTGCTTTAGGCTTTCTATTTATATCTTTCTATTTCTGTTTATTCATTCTTTTGATATAATTATTTGTAACATTGAGTCTCGTGAGAGACCTGGAACAGCGTACTTTAGATTATCTAACGGAATTGAGTGAAAAGGTCTAAACATGAAAGATGATTCCAAATTTTACACAGACAAGGTATGTTGACAAGCACTGCTCTTGTCAATAAGAGAATAAAAAAATTATAGCAGTAGCATTAGAAATGATATAGAATTTCACTAAACAAAATAATAGGAATTCCATCTCACCCCAGGAAGAATGGCTGTCATCAAGAAGTCAACCAAAGGGCTGGCAATATAGCTCGGCAGACTAAGTGCTGGCTCAGGGAAGTGCAGGGCCAGGGTTTGGCCCCTGGCACCGCATGCCATGCTGGCCCGGCCCCGGGGTGTGCCAAGCCGGCGAAGGATTCCGGATGTGTGGTACATGCCTGTAATCCCAGCACTAGGGAGGCAGAAATCAGGAGGATCACTGCGAGTCTGAGCTGCATAGTGAGACTTGTGTGCACACACAAAGAAAACCTTAAAAAAAAAAGAAGTCCACCAATAACAAATATTGGAAGGGCTGTGGGAAAAAAGCAAACCTCTCCGCTGTTGGTGGGAAAGCAGACTGGTACAGCCACTATGGAAATCAGTGTGCAGACTCCTCAAACAACTAGGATTAGAGGTCCCATTCAACCCAGCTATCCTCCTACAGGGTATTTTTCCAAAAGAACTGAAAACATTATACCTCAGCAATATATGTGCACCCTTGTTTACAGCAGCACAGTTTGCCATGGCTAAATCTTGGGAACAACCCAAATGCCCATCAACTGAGGAACAGATAAAAAGACCTATTTCTTTTGAATTCTTAAAAAACGTATTTTCTTTTTAGTATAGAAGTTTTACATTTGTGAAATTACAGCAAAGACTATACTGAGAACTTCTATGTAAACATGTTATGTGTAAAATAAATGATTTAATGTTGTTATATTATTCAAATATTTAATAATATTTTATGCGGATTTTCCTCTTTATACTCAACATATTTTTATTTAGGATCTCACTTATAATAATACCATATCATTTTGCAATGACTTTTAAGCTGCTCTTGATATAATTTCTTAGACTTCCTTGTTTTATGATGAACTTCACAGCTCTGACGAGTGCTCCTGAGGCAATCTGTGAAAACTTTTGTTACTGGGGACTTGGTCTGATTCATTTTTACTGATCAGATGAATGTTTCTGAGAGGAAAATCTCTTGGGTAAAGTATGATTTTCATCAGATCACACTAAGGAATAGCATCCACGTATTTCATCACTATTGCTATGAGGCAGGATTTGTCAGGCTTCTGCATGGTCATTTTTCTTTTCCTCTTGTTCTGTGGGCAATTCTTTGGAAAATAATGACCACAGTAGTCTGCCATTAAAGAATGGGGAGTATTTGTTCATGGCCTGCAGACAGAGTGTTACATAAATTATTTTTAACAGAAACTTTATTCTGTCCCTTATATATTCATTTTATTCACCATGAATATTTTTTACCTAGTTTAGAATAATGATTTTTCAAAAAATTATATGATTGTATGATGGGATAACTGCATTTTATATCAAGACCTAGACACTAAACATTTTTATTATTACTGGACTATCATTATGTCTAGCTTCTCTCAGCTGACAAAACAAAGGACTGAGACTCACACTAAACATACTACCAGGGCCTGCCAGATAGCTCAGTGGATTAAAGCACCTGCTTAGGCAAGTGCAGCGGCCGGGGTTTGATCCTTTGCATGCTGTGCTGGCCCTGCCCCCAGGACACCCTGAGACAGAGATTGAGACTGGGCGTGGTAGTGCGCATCTGTAACCCCAGCGCTTGGGAGGCTGAACACAGGAGGATCACTAGGAATCTGATCTAGCAGTGAGACCCTGAACACCCTGTAGGCTCTGTGCTAAATACAAAAAAACAAAACAAAACAACAACAACAAACCATACTATCATGTGCACACACTTGGATTTCTTCCTGTATGTCCCCATATGCATATGGTACTAAATGTGAGTTTGTACTGTTTTCATGTTACCCCAAAAATACATGGAATAGTCTAACCTCTTCCTATTGCTTATTTGTGAGGGCTCACTCGACAGTGGGAGCCTAAGTCCTCACTGTCTTTCGTTCATGCACTTTGTTGGTTAGTTCTAGTAGATAGACTGTGTTCTTTAAAGCTGTCAGCCCTCGAGTCCCTGGGAAACTGCATCTGCAGGGACAGCACTAGCCTTAGGAGTCAGCCTCCTCGACTCCACAGGCTGCAGTGATTTCCCAGGTGCTACAGTCAGCCTTTTGTTATTCCAGTCCCTTCGGTGAGGATGCTCAATGGTGGTAACGCACTTCTGTCCTTTCGTGCGTTTCATCCTGTGATCATATGGCCTCACAAATTACTTTTTAAATTTACATATAACAGCTGCTCTTTGTGCTGTAACAGACTACAGATTTTACCAGATAGTTTCTGTCTTATGCCCCTCATTTCAATGTCATGCTGAACAGTTTCATCATCCTAAAATTAATCCTCTGTGTCACTTATGAAGGCATCCCCCCAAGTCCCTCTGTGTCACTCATAAAGGCATCCCCCCT